GGAAATAAGTCTGAACGACAAGTTGATAAAATATATAATGTGAACGAAATAAGCACAGACGGATAGTAGCTAGCTTATAATGCTTGTGAATTTAAGTCAATACTGAGGCAATATGCACAGTATGTACATATGCCAATAAGAGACAGATCAATTGCAGTACTAAACATTAGTGGGAAGATTCAAGTTAAACAATATCAAGTGAATTTATGGGAAGAAATAATTTGGTAAACTATGAGTCTTATACTCTTTATCCAAAAGAAGCAAAATGAATTCCATCACTTTCACTGAGAAAACGCAACTTGTGTCTATCTTCCATAAAAATGGCTATTCAAGCAACTTCATCGAGAGGTCTAAAGAAATTCATAAATCAGGGAACTGATATATGTAAACCATCTCAAAAATCATCAAGTGGATTTTGAAACGTTTTGGATTCAAAGTCTTCCCTAAAAACAAAAAATGTCTTCACTCAATTTCGCGCAAATCTAAAGATATAATGACGAATGAAGATAAATTTATAATCATTTCTAAAATAAGTTGTACCGACTGCGATGTACAGTACGGCGGACAAAATCGACTCCACTTTAATTTTCTCATACACAAATATAAATTAACAATGAAACAATATAATATGCTGTCACTGATTGCAGTACACTTAGAGAACTTTGAACATTCATGAAAAGTCAGTCAGCAAGATGGTCAGAGGTTCATAAAAAAAGACAGTCAACAGGAACACAAGGACAAATGAAACCTATATAGACAACCAGTCAGAAAACAAGGTCACTAGGGCAAACTGATTTACACCTCGCAGAATATTTGAGACACTCACTTTCTCATGACGTAGGCACCAACACTGTGGTTCACAATAACTATGACAACTCTCCAACTAAATAATCTAACTCACAGTACCCAACGACATCAAAATATCCTTTAACTATTTGTAAACATACATTGTCTTACAGTAGGTCAGTTTTCATGCAGGAAATCATCCATCCTTTACCTTGGTGTAGTCAATCATTAATAAAAATATTTTGGTAATATCTTTCCTGAATAGGCAGATTGTTTTTTAAAAAATAACAAAAAAAACAACAGAGATTCATATACACCACTCATTCTTAGGGGTAAAACGTTAAAGTATTGTGAAATATTTTGATTTCTAAAGACTAACAGACTGAATAACCAGATTTCAGAATTCAGCATTATGAAAATGAAATCACCAAAAATGAGGTTTCAAATACAAAATATAGAAGTTTATAAATGAATACTACCCCATATTGTAGTCCACTTGAGTGATATAGTTTGAATTGCATGATGGAAAAACATGATAGACAGACATTTTGTTAATTTATGTTGTATTGGGTGTTCGATTCCTCACACTGATGTTTAGGACTACAACTGAACAATCTTCAATTGGCATATGTGCATCCTGTGCCAATCACCTTAATATTGTCTTAAATTACAAGTATTATAAGCAATGACGGATGGTGGCTACCAATGAAATCCTGGAATCAAGTCCGAGATTTATTATCAACTTTAAGATGCAGGTATATCCAGCTGACGAGTTCCAAACAGGACGAAACACCCGTCCTGGATTTCACTACTAACTACCATTCATCTCTTATCAGATATTTTGTTAACCAAAAAATTAGGAATCAAAAAACAACAAAATTTACATACTTTGTTTATTCAAAATACTGTTGAGTTTGTAACAGTTTTAAACATCAGCATCCTAGATATATAATATAAACAAATACAAAATGACGTAAAAAATAACTTCTTAATGATAACTCTTAACTCTGATAAACCAGGAGTAATCTGTATTTCGTTAAAAATCTACGTAATCCATTGAAAACAATATGAGAAATGTGAATTAATTTCTAGAAAGAAATTAAAATATAATACCATGATAACTAACTTCGCCTGAAGCTCCTCTGGATCCACTACCGGTCTCAAGCCTAGATAGAAGAGTAGGGATTGGGTATGGGGTTAGAGACCCTATCCCGTAGAAAACTAACTCGCTAAAAAAAATGCTAACCAGAAAAAAATTATTCAATCAATTAAACCATGATAACTGTAGGAAATCGTATCACAGTTTTAAATGAAAAGTATATCGAAAATCTTTAAAAATTTCCATTTTTTGAATTAAAACAATACATATAACTGTACAGTATTGTTTTCATCTGGTTTTATTCCAATATACCATAATATTTATATACATATATGAAATTTTTTGATTGAGATCATGAACCGAATGATGTTAGACCACCTCAGCAGTGCGCATCCACGATCCCGCTCGCGAGATTTGAACACAGGGCCCTCAGTCTCGCGCGCGAACGCTTATGAAATTATTAAACCAATCAAGTTAGTTGATTAGTCAATGATAACAGTGGAAAAGATTGCCTAATAAGTAAAAAGTACAAATTGATTGTGTACTAATATACTGATGTACTAGTTATGATATAAATAATAAATGCTCGAATCAATGTTCCCTAATAAGAAGTGGGTCAATGAACCAGATCAAATAGATACTGAAATAGTTTTCATCAAAGATTACGCAATAAGAAGTATTCAGATAATTGGACAGTGAAGTATATGTTTCATAAAAATTGGGTGAACACAAATAAACGAACAAAGAGTATAGTAAATAATAAAAAAATCTTTTATTAAGGCTGATTAGGTCAAGGAAGAAATAAGAGTGTCGCAAATTTCTTTATGAATACAAAGAGTTGAATTGTTAGCTTGAATTCCTACAACTTCTGTTATGTGTAAGAAACGAAATTGAACCACACAAGGAGAACTAATAGGAATGCGGTAAACTACTTTAAAAGACCTATTCCTATCTACTATATGAGTGTTGTTGATCAAGTTTGACGGAACAGAACTGCTTTTATTTCGACTATACTCTTTCCTAAACATGAAGTAAGGTGTTTACTAACTAGCTGACTCAGTTGTTTGGTTGTGTGTCCAATATAACTTTCTCCAAAGAACTAGCTGAATTCTTAAATACATGTGGATGTAACAAAATCAGGTTATTAGCCTAATACAAATGAATAATAGAAGTATATCTTATTCAACTAAATATTTCTCTTAACCTTTCAGTTATTGTTTTGACTGTTCTCCCTCTGGTTTTATCGACGTCCGTTATTTCGTTATTATGCTTATAGTTATATATACCAGAATACTATTTAAGATAATAATCAAAGCAAATAACCCAATAGTTTCCTTTCAGAGGTATCTAAATTGTGTTAGTAATGGAATTGTGCGAATAAAAAAAGTACTTAAATAAAGCAATATTGCAAACAAGATTCACTATTATTTTATGTACACGTACATACTCATAACTTTTATGTTACCGAATTAATGGTTGATTCATCTATGAAACAGAGGAATCAGTATTCAGAAGTATCGTTATTGAAATGATTATTCAACAGCAGTATGTTTGAAGATCTTGTCTGTGACTATTTAATTTGTTGAAATGAAAGTCAAATATTGATAATAACAGAACCAGTTACAGTGTGTTAGACATGAACTTCTGTAGATGTTCTTTTTTTCGTTTTATTTTTCTACAGGTTGTCCCCAAATGCCCTGGTACGGCTGAGAGTGAGCAGAGTCCTATCTCCCTCTCAAAATGCTCCCACACGGCCACGCTTATATAGCCTCTGTCAGGGAAGTCCTACTCATTGCCTTCTTGCGGCGCTTTAACCGGATTGGTGGACATGGACAGTCTACCTAAGGCAGTTGGAAAACCCTGATTCCAAACCAATGGTATACATGGGCTTCAGTACCCTGTGGGAACAAATGGCGTATGAACCAATTTTCGTTCACCGGCTACCATGGGACTGCATCTCCTTACGTTGCTCCACTGCCTTGTGGATCAGGCCTTCAGGTCGAAGTCTCCGGGTGTGGCCCCCTAAGAAAACCAGCTGATTGGGTTTGGGCACCTGGGCAGTATCCCAGCGCTCACACAAATCTCATTTGATTTTTGTGGCACATATGTATCTGGTGCCCCCTTTGTACCAGTATTTATGTGTTTAAATAAATAAATAAATTTTCTACAGGTTACAGATACTTTTATATCTTAATTTATTATTTTGAAATATTATGAATAATAACCATGTTAGATATGGAGGAATATATAGTCAGGGTAGAATTTCGAGGACTGTCCAGTTATCAATCAATGTATAAATGATTTATGGTATTTTTCTATAATAACATATTTGTAAACCTTCATTTCATTCATCAATGGATGTACTAATGTATTTTATACCTTTTACGTACTACAGTTAATTTACCATGTATTTGTTACCTGGTTTTATACCACAAATGACTCAGTTATGTGATGCATTGTAACCCTGCAACCATTGGTGTTATTATTTAGGTTTCTTAATCATAGAATACACAATAATAAATGTAAATCCTTTGAATTTTCTCATATTTTGACAGAGTAGGCTAAAAGGAAGACATAAGAAATCTATATAAGCCAGTGATCGGTGTCCATATACTTAATAAAGAAAAAGATAAAGTGTGTTCTTTGACGTAAGGTTAGCTCATTGTTGGTAAATTCAATAAATCAGTGATCTTATTTAGAGTAAGCAAATGCTTTTAAGTTACTGATAAAAGGATAACCTATATCAAATAACCTTTACAGAAACATTAAAAAACCAGCAGCATTAAGCAGGTGATTCGTCTTAGTTTGAAGCACCTTTGAAGTTTACATCGTTGACTCCCTATATAATCAAATTCAGAAACTTCATTTCTAAATTAAACTGCCCAATCGGAATCAAATGGCTGAAACTTTAAACATTAATTAATGTGCTGTCTTGAGTGGTATTGTGAATAAGCACTTCTAGCTAGTTATAAACCAGAATAAGATCGTTATTTCAACGCTTCACAGACTTTTTTGAGTGTTAAAATAAGTCTGTACATTATGTAATCCATGGCATACGCTATAGAAAATAAAAGCAATTTATAATTGTAAAAGGAAGGAAGTAACAAGTACTCACCAGTTCACGATCATCTAACACATCAACAACACGATCATCCCAATCCAGTATACCACCATCACGAGCTAACGCTAACGAATCTACTTCATAATCACTATCAATATTCAGTTTCCATGATACATTTTTTTGATTATCTGTTTTTAGATGAGAATCATTGTCTGGCTGATCTAATTCTTTCGGTATTATTTGACTGTGTTGTTGTTGTTGATCTAGATTGTAGTTTTCTTGCTTTCGTTTTTCTGGTGACTTTGTTTGACTCCCTGTACACAATTTGACATTTTGATCTATGCAACATTTTGTCTATAAAAAAATATAATAGTTGGTAAAAGATTCAGATTAGTATTTGGGTTTTATACATGTTAAAGTTTCATAGTTTAAACCACTAACTGATCTTAGATAGGCCATCATTTTAAACTAAGAAACACTGTAAAACTGTTTCATTCCGTGAAGAAACTCCTCAGCCATGAAAATTGATAAATTCACCTTAACAGATCAAACCCAGAAACTTCAGCCCCATAAACAAACACTCAATTCTTGAACCACAAAGACCTAAAGGAACAAATATTCTGGTCATCTGGTTCATTACAAAAAGCAATTAGTTATGTTCAGATCTATTATAAACTTAATCAAAATGGTTAATTCCTTTCAACACTAAATATTTCCAATATGTCCTGTTATATATTGTGTTGAATTCGATCTTATCAATTATATTATAGATTAAGCAATTGTTTATACACACATCTACATTGATCTATAATCTATCTATTTCCGTATAGAAAGTAATCTTTATTTAGATATTACTTAAATTTATTCTGTATACAATTTCATTTTATTAATCTTTACACCATTTAAACAATGTCTGGTTAATTTACTATCTATTTCTTGTTCTTTTTTTCAGAGATTATACAAGAGGATGTTGGTGTTATGTACTACTTATTTAAAACAAAAGTATTATGTTATTAGATGTATTTAGCCATAATAAAGATCATATGTATATAGTAATTATTGTTTTAGACAAATGTCACTTAAATTTAATTATACCTTTCTACTAGTACACTAGAATCTAGACTTGTGACATTTAACAAACGGGTTTATATTAATGTTAATATTATTCAAAGTTTAGCTTTTAAGATACATACATATATTGAAGTGCTCTACGCTCAGATAATAATATCAATAGATGTAACTGTTTAATTATGCATTCCTACATTTAACATTAAATGACGTAATTAATAACAAATAATAAATTAATATCAGATGGGTTTTTGTGGAGATTGTAGTAATTTCAATGGTTAAGATCATGAGTCAGTTGAAGCTAGACCACCATGGAAAACCTGGAAGCACTGGACGGCCGTTTCGTCTTATTGTGGGACTCCTCAGCAGTGCGCATCCACGACCTCGCCCCCTACGAGATTCGAACCCAGGACCTACTGGCTTCGCGCGCGAGCACTTAACCACTAGACAACTGAGCCGGCCGGTATCCAAGGGTGTTAATGTCTAACTTCAACTAATCCACGAAATTGAGTGACACATCCACCATTGTCTTCAGTGAGTTACTATCTCACAAACAGACCTGGTTGAACTCCACTGGTCACTACTTCTCACTACTACTCACTGAGGAGTCCGACAATAGGACGAAACGCCATCCAGTGCTTCCAGGTTTTCCATGGTGATCTAGCTTCAACTGACTCATGATCTTGACCATTGAAATAATCAATTGTTTCAATTTTCAAGTATGTTTTTCTATGTTCTCTATTCAAATCTTTAAATTTGATCATATTTTACATGATCATCATTGACAAACTGTATAACCATGTAGTTATGTACGTGTGTGTGTTTTAATCACTCTAATGATCCTTAATGAAATCATTCATTTTCCAGCACGAATAAATTACAAAACTTTCAGATCTAAACTACAAATAGTATGGATAAGATTTTAAAAAGAAATAAAACAAACCATAATAATAATTCAAATATTTTAACAGCTAAGAAGTACATTATACTAACTGTTTTGTATTTTAATAACCAATACCTATTTTAAATTCACTTGATATCGTTTACCCTGTGCTGAGAATTCTACATTGTACTAAAATATAATATTGAATAAAGCACAGTATTCAAATATGCCAATAAGAGACTGAACAATTTCAGTCCTAAAACATCAATGGAAAGATTCAAATAAAACAATACCAAGTGAATTCAAATTCACCCCATTGCACAAGCAAGTGACTATCAGAACTCAGTAGCTGAGTGGATAACGCGATGACGTTTGAAGCGAATGGTACTGAGTTCGAGTCCCAGAATGAACATCAACTCTGTGATGTGGCAGGTACATCCAGCTGACAGGTGCCAAATGGGACGAAACGCACGTCCTGGATTCCACTGCTAGCCACTATCCATCTTTGCTGAAAACAATATTGTTCGCTCATATATGTTGTTCTAAATTCTATATTGTACCAAAAATATAAATCTGAATAAAGCTAATAATAATAATAATAACATAGGATATTATGTATTTTCCACTTGAGTACTCTCTTTTGAAACCTTTCAAATGATTCACATCTATTATGCTTTGATTACTATTAGTATCATATCACACATTAATATGATTTTTAATTATAACTAAGTATTGAACGACACAACTTTAAACCAGTTTTATTTTTTCAATTTAGACTGATATGACAGGCAACAATTAAGTAAATATGAAAATAAGGTTTTACATTGATGGGTTATTAAGTGACCTATGAAACTCACATGTATAACATTAAAATGTAGAGGACGCATTTCGTTCTGTTTGGGACGTGCTAACATTAAAATAATGGAATTGAAATTTGAACATAATAGTTTTCGCTTTTTGATTTCAACTGTTTGCCACATAACATACAAATGTGAACTTATGACATAACACTACATTATAACAATTCTTTTAGGATGTAACTATGGGAACAGTAACTGATTGAAATACAGTCCTTAATATTAATAACAAAAAAATTGCAAATCCTTACTAATATCAGTACTCTTTTACAAATTGAATAAACTTCAGTTATGTTTATTTTGTAAAAATATTTTGCTCATATGTATATATGAAAACTACATTTTAGCTAACAAAATATTTAGTTCTTCAATATTCCTTTATCATAGATATTGCATTAATAATTCCGATTGTTATATCCCGATGAGAATAATGAATGGTAACTGTTGGGATCCATTTATGGACCAATACTACACGTATATTTTTATTGTACAATTATTAAGTAACTAAACTATTCATATTCGTGTTCCTCTTATCATTAGCTTTATTTGGACCTACGAACTATTAGTATACAATTTACCATTCTTGAGTTATTCCCAGTCTATCAACTACAGTCTCCCACATTCACAGTCACTTTTGGCTAGATGTTATACAAATGTCGTTTCCTATTTTATGGTACGATGTGGTCTGTCCGGTTGGTATATAAACCCAGTATGCTTGAAATAAATGATTCATATCACAGAGACTGAGATTGATGTTCTGGACTAGAACAGGCAGGACCAGGTGGGAAGCAGGACCGATAAAGACTCTAGACTGCTTGTACTTGTTTTATGCATCATTGGTCTGGTCGATAATTCAGTGTTCTCTACTTGGCGGTATCATTACGTTATACATTAATAAGGACACAGGGCATAAGTCATAACACCGATATATACTCATAACTCAACTGCAATAATCTTACAAAATCAAGTTATAGATCATATCTCTCACAATCATTCACTGTTTCCTTAGTTATAACAGAGATTACACATTTTTACATTCCATTCCAAATATACAGTTTTAGAACGAAAATAAACATTAAACGTTAGATAAAAATATATCACAGTGTTGTCAGTATTGAACAATCATCTTTTTTTAAAAACAAAAAGCACCGTAGTCATACAGTTAATTCCATTAGCATGTTTATATATGTATATGAGAATAATGAATGAAAGAACAAATAGTTAACTCATGTGAAATTAAAAAAATAAGTATGATAAACCATTTATTGGTATTTTGTATTAACTCTGGCAGAAAATTTAACCATTATGAGTTGATCAATAATAGTATTATTCATTGGTTGAAATCGTGGATGCGCACTTCTGAGGAGTCCCATACTAGGACGAAACGGCAGTTCAGTGCCTCCAGGTTCCTTAAATCTCCACAAAACCCATTCTGATAATAGTATTTTTATTACTTATGAAAATTTATCATCCATAACTGATTGATTACTGAACAGTGTAACTAATGTCATACTTGTCTAGTTACTTACGGTTGATTAAGTTTTTATCGATTGAGTCGTTATTCAAAAACTAGCTTAAGAAGTCCAATGTTCCGTGCACTATGATATGATGTTAGGTGGTTGACAGAAAATTTTGAAACTAGGTCCCTTGTTAGTTGAAACTGTTCAACAGAATATACCTGTGATCCCTCTGAGATATCAACTTGAAACACTTGCGTTCAAAATCTGCGACATTACTACTGAGTTATTTGAGAAGCGGCCTAAATCTGTGTGCTGCAATTTCGAATCTCATAAAGACCCTAAAATCTTTCTTCCTATAACTTGCCAACGAGTACGACGCCTAGATCAAAGTTTTGTTGTCTAATGCTTTCAAACTCTTAGCATCTCAAAATGGCTCACGCGATACCAAGTCACTTAGAATTCAATCAGAATGAAGAGGATCTATATAAACATGATTATTCACCATTCAGTAGTCAGTCAGTTGGAAATTATAAATATAATCTTCCCATTAGTTGCTCTGAAAGAGGTATCATTAAGCGTCACAATTAAAATAATTATTCACTCAACAATTTGGGTGGTGATTGACCTGACAAAAAAACATTTACAACAAATAAATGTAGATCAAAAGGAAATTCGGTCACATATAAATCACTACTTATTAGGATGATATAAAATAAATGATATAGTGATTTGATTATGTTTGTGAGTGAAATCAGTTGATTAATTGGTTTTGTCAATTACATACATACATATATGAAATTGTTTATTGATTGATGAAAACAACTCAAAACTCTAACCATCGCAATTTCATTATTTACTGACCATATATATATAGTACATTTTGATCAGTGTTGTAATCAGTGTTTGGTGGACACGTGAATAAATCTTCACCAAACAGTCTTGCATTCTTATTTTTTGTGTCGTTAAAAGTAACAGATATCAATCTATTCTTCAATTATATGACAAGTAATTTCAACAGTTGAGATGATGAGTCAATCGAAGCTAGACTACCGTGGAAAACCTGGAAGCTCTGGACAGCCGTTTCGT